AAATATTTAAGTCCAAATTGTTCTACAGCATCTTATGAACCACAATGGAAATAAGCCATAATGGTTTTATCGGTTTTCCAACAATTTAAAAGCATCATGTTTCTTTTCAGTAATAATTAATGATATTTCAGAGCATAATTTTACTCTGATTTAATCCTAATTTTGTTTAACCAGTCATTTAATTTGTTATTTGATTTTTTAAAGGTGTGCATTTCTAAGATTTTTATGAATAAAGTTGTACATCTATTACCGATATCAATAACAACATATGTGCTAATTTCGTTGTTTTATCAGGAATGTAATTTTCTTATGTGATGTAATGAAGTCTACGATGATGTTTTGTATATGTGTCTTTTACCTAAATAACGATGATACCAAACGTAATGATAATCTGAGGAGGCCCCAGACCTTTCGCTAATTACACCTGTGTTCATCAGTGGTAATTAATGTCCTATCAGCTGAGCAAGCTGGGCTAGCTTATCTCCCTTTGATCAGGGAGATAGTGTTTGTTTGACCTCCAATTCGACATTGAGAAGTCCAGACATCACAGATCTTAACTGACACTGGTCAGTATACATTACCACTGGTCAGTTTGTATTAACACTGGTCAGTATCACATTAACACAACAAGTTTATTTATCATGCCTGACTTTCTCCCCACTCCGGACACTGCTGTATATATTGAAACTGAATTTGAGAATCAGGATGAGTTGGTTCTTATAAAGTCAGGTTAGATTCTGTCAATGTTGTGATTTGTTCTGTCTGTCCTCCAGATTGCAAAAGACACATCAACCGGATGCGTAAACTTTGGTTACAATTCTGATAATACAAATACCTTATCTATTTATTGAAAAGGAAAACTGAAGGATTGAAATGTGCCAGTATTTGGTAATGTATGATGACTATGCTGTGTTATTTGGGTAGTGATAGGGTGTGGGAGGGCTGGTTCTCATTAGGGGATCAGGCTTACAGTGAGGGGTCTGTTTAGTGTATCGGGGTGATACAACTGTACGAGCTTCAGGGGAGGGGAACTAAAGCTGAATCAGCCCCTGGCCCCTTATACACTGCCCACTCCTGTTCTCAGGGTGCCATACCACAAAAATGTGGCTAATTCTCAACTTAATTCTTTATCACCAAGCTTTCCTTGTTCCAAGTGTTTTTTTCTGGGTTATATTTGGTACCAGAATGGGCGTCTCTACAGCTTTAACATGGAGTTCAAATTTCAGATGGTCACATCTCCGCATAGACTGTTTATAGAAACAGGTCGCCTTGCCTAGTCACACCTCGAAGCTGAGTGATAGCTTTAGTGTGCATCCATTAAACGAAGACAAAACATCCTTATTCCCAGTATACACAGAATACAGAAACTCCCTGAGTTGGATTTGAGATTTTAAATTCACACTTTTTTATGTTAATGCATATATCTACTAAGATGTCCAGCATGGGACTGGGTAATAGTACCAGTAAAGAAAACGAACACAAAGTATTTAAAAGATCATCTTTTGCAGATCTGATCAAGATCTGTTGATGGTGGGCACCAAGATCATGATAGAATCTCTTGTTATATAATGTTCTGGTTTTAAGAATAAATCAGCCTGAAGCACTGAAAAATATTGTCACACAAAACACAGGGCATTTAATGATCTCGAATTTGGTGGTTTTACAGATTTTAACATTCTGTTGTGTTTTAAATTAGATTTTGATCTAGGCTTTTGATGAAGAAATAAATGCACGCCAGCATGGTGACAAAGACATGCATTAGAAATGACATGCCCTTCGTAAGTAGCCCTGATCATGTATAGACACTATTGATTACGTAAACACCATCTAGAGATTCCATCCAAGATACGTTATGTGTGGGTATTTCATGTTTCCTGAGGTCATTTGAGGATGGTATCAGTAAACTGTCGTATTGTTTTCTGCCTAATACATTGTTACCATACTTAGTCTCCATAATATATCTTTACCATATAGTATTTGTGTCTCCTAACTCAGTGTAAACATACTACGTTAAAGTCAGTAATACATTGTAATATGTTTTTCTACTAAAATATATTGTAATCATATTGTATTCTACTAAGATACATTGTAATCATACTGTATTCTACTAAGAAACATTGTAACCATATTGTATTCTACTAAGATACATTGTAACCATACTGTATTCTACTAAGATACATTGTAATCAAACTGTATTCTACTAAGATACATTGTAACCATACTGTATTCTACTGATACATTGTAATCATACTGTATTCTACTAAGATACATTGTAACCATACTGTATTCTACTAAGATATATTGTAACCATACTGTATTCTACTAAGATACATTGTAACCATACTGTATTCCACTAAAATACATTGTAACCATCCTGTATTCTACTAAAATACATTGTAACCATCCTGTATTCTACTAAGATACATTGTAATCATACTTTATTCTACTAAGATACACTGTAATCATACTGTATTCTAGTCTTATACATTGAAACCAAACTGTATTCTACTAAGAAACATTGTAACCATATTGTATTCTACTAAGATATATTGTACCCATACTGTATTCTACTATGATACATTGTAACCATCCTGTAATCTACTAAGATACATTGTTACCATACTGTATTCTACAGAAATACATTGTAACCATCCTGTAATCTACTAAGATACATTGTAGCCATACTGTATTCTACTAAGATACATTGTAACCATACTGTATTCTACAAAAATACATTGTAACCATCCTGTATTCTACTAAGATACATTGTAATAATACTGTATTCTACTAAGATACATTGTAATCATACTATATTCTAGTCTTATACATTGTAATCATACTATATTCTAGTCTTATACATTGAAATCAAACTGTATTCCAGGGTTATACATTGTAACAACACTGCAACTGTTGGCTCTAGGCAAACTACGAGATAAGAGAATCATTTTATCCAGTTTTCAAAACTAGGTTAGGATATTCTCTTTTTTGAGCTAATAAATTCCTCCCAATATTTGTCTCCCTCAGCAGACAGAGTGGTACATTGTTGCTATGGTTAGCGTACGACAGTATTGATCAAGTCCCAGACAGAGTTGTACAGCGTGTGCTATGGTGATTGATGTGCTATGGTGATTGGTGTGCTATGGTGAGGGGTACAGTGTGTGCTATTGTGTGCTATTGTGTGCTATGTTGTGCTATGGTGATCGGTGTGCTATGGTGACAGTCATGCTATGGTGAGTGGTGTGCTATAATGAATGGTGTGCTGTGGTGAGTGGTGTGCTATAATGAGCGGTTTGCTATAATGAGCGGTGTGCTATAATGAGCGGTGTGCTATGGTGAGTGGTGTGCTATGGTGACAGTCTTGATATGGTGAGTGGTGTGCTATGGTGATCGATGTGCTATGGTGTGCTATGGAGAGCGGTGTGCTATGGTGAGTGGTGTGCTATAATGAGCGGTGTGCTATGGTGACAGTCGTGCTATGGTGTGCTATAGTGAGCGGTGTGCTATAGTGAGCAGAGTGCTATGGTGAGTGATATAACTGTGTTACACACATTTCAAACATGAAGCATAAATCCATGTTTTTGGAAGAGTCTAACATGTGTCAATTGCCTTTTATTCTTACTTCGCTTCCCCCAAATCTCTACAACAGCCTCAGTTTTGTTCTGCTGTCCTCTGAATCTCTACAACAGCCTCGTTTTCATTCTGTTGTCCTCCAAATCTCTCCAATAGCTTGTTTTTCATGCTAATACTTCAATTTTTTTCTTTTATTTAGCCTTACATCTTAACAATCTCAGAGTAAGCGTACCTGTAAATATTCGTGTTAATTTTTCTGTCTTTATTTTTTGTATTATTACAAGAATTTCCTGGTGAATTATACCCAATAACCTTACAGTCTAGTTTGAGCATTGTACTCTGCGAGTCTACAGTACCTACTGTTGTACTGTACTGGTGAAGTGGTTCTGTTATTAGAATCCGATGATTTTCGTGACTGCTGATGAACGCCTTTAGAATTGTTATTGAATTAAGATTGCAAACCTGGTACTTTCTCACCTAGCTGTTAAAACGTGCTCATTAAATCGGGGTGTGTTTACTATACAATCCCAAAATAATAGTTATGGGCTACGGTTAGTAAGGGATGGGTGCCTACTGTTCTTAGCCGACCCCCTGAGTTTCTGTTACTGACCCTAGGTGAGACCTTATCCTGGTCAGTGATTGGTCTTCCAGGTTTCCCCTGAACTCCAATTTACCTGTATCTGGGAAATGGAAATGGACAAAGTGTTTTTTTGCCAAATTCTCTTTCAACTGAAATTGTTGGGATAAGTATCTTTTCTTTTGAAACAAGCAGATAGACAGATTTGTATTTACGTTCGGTGGAAAAAACAATAATTTCAAGAATAAATTAGCAAAGAAATGCATGCTTTTCAGTGTGCACCAGACAGAAAGCGGCCAATTAACTGACCATTAATGACACTACAGCTGGTTTGTCTATTACCCTGACCAAGAACCTGGCCTCCCTTGCAGACTGACCTCAGACACCTGACTAAAGCAGGGGGGATCGTTAGCTGCCAGGCAGCCAGGCACTTTTGAAGTATTGATACTTTGTTTGTGTACCACAATACACTTTTGTACTCAAAAGAAGTATTTATATACTTTGTTTACCAACAGTGCAGTCTAGGTACACTTTTGTGTGGTACACAGATGAAGCATTTATACTTCGTTTCTGTACCACGGTACACTTTCATAAAACTGGCCTTAATTACAGGACATCAGATCACCTTAGAGTCAAAAATTTGAAAATGCATTAATCACTTCTGAACAAAATGTGACGGATGTTCTGGAAACTATCGATTATTGTATGGTTTGTAAGATCAGTTAATTGTAACAATGCCTCCAAATAATTTTCCAGAAATTTGTTCATCAAAAGTGTATTGATGTAACTGCACTCTTGTGAGAGTAATATAGTTAAATATTTGCTGTAAAATTCCACCCAATCCAAACTGAAGACACGATACAGCCACAGGGACTTACAGCCACAGGGACCTACAGCCAGCCCCCAAGACACACTACAGCCACAGGGACCTACAGCCTTCCCCCAAGACACTCTACAGCCACAGGGACCTACAGCAAGCCCCCGAGATACACTACAGATACAGGGACATACAGTCAGCCCCCAAGACACACTACAGCCCCAGGGACCTACAGCCAGCCCCAAAGACACACTCCAGCCACAGGGCCCTACAGCCAGCCCCAAAGACACTCTCCAGCCACAGGGACCTACAGCAAGCCCCCGAGATACACTACAGATACAGGGACATACAGTCAGCCCCCAAGACACACTCCAGCCACAGGGCCCTACAGCCAGCCCCCAAGACCCACTCCAGCCACAGGGACCTACAGCAACCCCCCAAGACACCCTACAGCCCCAGGGACCTACAGCCAGCCCCAAAGACACACTCCAGCCACAGGGACATACAGCCACCCCCCGAGACACACTACAGCCTCAGGGACCTACAGCAAGCCCCAGAGATACCCTACAGCTACAGGGACATACAGTCAGCCCCCAAGACACCCCGCAGCCCCAGGGACCTACAGCCAGCCCCCAAGAGACACTACAGCTACAGGGACCTACAGCCAGCCCCTGAGCCACACTACAGCTACAGGGACCTACAGTCAGCCCCCAAGACACACTACCGCCACAGGGACCTACAGCCCGCCCCCGAGACACACTACAGCCTCAGGGACCTACAGCAAGCCCCCGAGATACACTACAGATACAGGGACATACAGTCAGCCTCGAGACACACTACAGCCACAGTGACATACAACCAGCCCCCGAGACACACTACTGCCACAGGGACCTACAACCAGCCCCGGAGACAGAATACAGCCACAGGGACCTACACCCAGCCCCTGAGACACCCTACAGCCACAGGGACATACAGTCAGCCCTGAGACACACTACAGCCACAAGGACCTACAACCAGCCCTGGAAGCCACAGTAACCTACAGTCAGCCCCGGAAGCCACAGTGACCTACAGTCAGCCCTGGAAGCCACAGTGACCTACGGTCAGCCCTGGAAGCTCCACCCAATCCAAACTGAAGACACGATAAAGCCACAGGGACTTACAGCCACAGGGCCCTACAGCCAGCCCCAAAGACACACTCCAGCCACAGGGCCCTACAGCCAGCCCCCAAGACAAACTGCAGCCACAGGGACATACAGCCACCCCCCGAGACACACGACAGCCACAGGGACATACAGCCACCCCCCGAGACACACTACAGCCACAGTGACATACAACCAGCCCCCGAGACACACTACAGCCACAGGGACATACAGCCACAGGGACCTACAGCCAGCCCCCGAGACAAACTACAGCCACAGGGACATACAGCCAGCCCCCGAGACACACTACAGCCACAGGGACCTACAGCCAGCCCCCGAGACACACTACAGCCACAGGGACCTACAGCCAGCCCCTGAGACACACTACAGCCACAGGGACCTACAGCCACAGGGACATACAGCCAGCCTCAGAGACAAACTACAGCCACAGGGACCTACAGCCAGCCCCCGAGACACACTACAGCCACAGGGACCTACAACCAGCCCCTGAGACACACTACAGCCACAAGGACCTACAACCAGCCCTGGAAGCCACAGTAACCTACAGTCAGCCCCGGAAGCCACAGGGACCTACAATCAGCCCCGGAAGCCACAGGGACCTACAACCAGCCCCGGAAGCCACAGTGACCTACAGTCAGCCCCGGAAGCCACAGTGACCTACAGTCAGCCCTGGAAGCCACAGTGACCTACAACCAGCCCTGAGGCCACAGTGACTTACGGTCAGCCCTGGAAGCCACAGTGACCTACGGTCAGCCCTGGAAGCCACAGGGACCTACGGTCAGCCCTGGCAGCCACAGTGACCTACAGTCAGCCTCAGAAGCCACAGTGACCTACAGTCAGCCATGGAAGCCACATTGACGTACAGTCAGCCCTGGAAGCCACAGGGACCTACAGTCAGCCCCGGAGAACCATGTAGTGCTGTAATTTGGTATATTGGATAAAATATCAGAGACAGTGCTCTTTCTACAACTATCTTGCAGCAACAATACCATGTACAATTGCTTTATTTGTTTCTTTTCAGTAGGAAGGAAGGACAAACATTGGTGATTTCATGTGGGAAGGTCTGTTAACAAAGGTGTCCACTGTGGGAACTTATATGGCTTTGTTTGGAATCTATGGTAGTTGGTTTTTGGATTCTTGATAAAACATGTGTTGGAGATTTCATGAAGAAAGAGTGTGATCAATACTTGGTCACATGATCAGACAATAACATTGACCAGATCGTATCTTAGGCCCCAGGACATGATCAATAGAGTGGACATGATACCCTGTTGCTATGTTTCACTTATGGTGTTGGTTCTCCAGCCCAGGAGTCAATATAGCTGAAGCCTGGTGTTGGTTCCCCAGCCAAGGAGTCAATAGCTGAAGCCTGGTGTTGGTTCCCCAGCCAAGGAGTCAACAGCTGTAGGGTTGTGTTGGTTCCCCAGCCCAGAGGTCAACAGCTGTAGGGTTGTGTTGGTTCCCCAGCCCAGGGGTCAACAGCTGTAGGGTTGTGTTGGTTCCCCAGCCCAGAGGTCAACAGCTGTAGGGTTGTGTTGGTTCACCAGTCCAGGGGACAACAGCTGTAGGGTTGTGTTGGTTCCCCAGCACAGAGGTCAACAGCTGTAGGGTTGTGTTGGTTCCCCAGCCCAGGGGTTAACAGCTGTAGGGTTGTGTTGGTTCCCCAGCCCAGGGGTGAATAGCTGTATGGTGGTGACATAGGCAATACTTTTAAGCCATACCCGAGGTTTTTGTTTTACTGGAGTGTCTGTACTTTGTGTCTGTTGTTTGTGGTAAACACATGACTAAGATAAAGCTACCCTTTGTAGTTGTTTTTGGTGTGTCTTCCCAGGAAATCAATAAACACATATACACTAAATAAATCAATAAACATATGTATACCAGCACTAAGTATACTGAAAAATCTGGAGCCTGACACTCCATCACACACGCTAGCCAGCTATAATTGGTGTTAGTGTAATATCGCAGTTCTATGACATCACACACGCTAGCCAGCTATAATTGGTGTTAGTGTAATATCGCATCTATGACATCACACACGCTAGCCAGCTATAATTGGTGTTAGTGTAATATCACAGTTCTATGACATCGCACACGCTAGTCAGCTATAATTGGTTTTAGTGTAATATCACAGTTCTATGACATCACACACGCTAGCCAGCTATAATTGGTTTTAGTGTAATATCACAGTTCTATGACATCACACACGCTAGTCAGCTATAATTGGTGTTAGTGTAATATCACAGTTCTATGACATCACACACGCTAGCCAGCTATAATTGGTTTTAGTGTAATATCACAGTTCTATGACATCACACACGCTAGCCAGCTATAATTGGTTTTAGTGTAATATCACAGTTCTATGACATCACACACGCTAGCCAGCTATAATTGGTTTTAGTGTAATATCACAGTTCTATGACATCACACACGCTAGCCAGCTATAATTGGTTTTAGTGTAATATCACAGTTCTATGACATCACACACGCTAGCCAGCTATAATTGGTTTTAGTGTAATATCACAGTTCTATGACATCACACACGCTAGCCAGCTATAATTGGTTTTAGTGTAATATCACAGTTCTATGACATCACACACGCTAGCCAGCTATAATTGGTTTTAGTGTAATATCACAGTTCTATGACATCACACACGCTAGCCAGCTATAATTGGTTTTAGTGTAATATCACAGTTCTATGACATCACACACGCTAGCCAGCTATAATTGGTTTTAGTGTAATATCACAGTTCTATGACATCACACACGCTAGCCAGCTATAATTGGTTTTAGTGTAATATCACAGTTCTATGACATCACACACGCTAGCCAGCTATAATTGGTTTTAGTGTAATATCACAGTTCTATGACATCACACACGCTAGCCAGCTATAATTGGTTTTAGTGTAATATCACAGTTCTATGACATCACACACGCTAGCCAGCTATAATTGGTTTTAGTGTAATATCACAGTTCTATGACATCACACACGCTAGCCAGCTATAATTGGTTTTAGTGTAATATCACAGTTCTATGACATCACACACGCTAGCCAGCTATAATTGGTTTTAGTGTAATATCACAGTTCTATGACATCACACACGCTAGCCAGCTATAATTGGTTTTAGTGTAATATCACAGTTCTATGACATCACACACGCTAGCCAGCTATAATTGGTTTTAGTGTAATATCACAGTTCTATGACATCACACACGCTAGCCAGCTATAATTGGTTTTAGTGTAATATCACAGTTCTATGACATCACACACGCTAGCCAGCTATAATTGGTTTTAGTGTAATATCACAGTTCTATGACATCACACACGCTAGCCAGCTATAATTGGTTTTAGTGTAATATCACAGTTCTATGACATCACACACGCTAGCCAGCTATAATTGGTTTTAGTGTAATATCACAGTTCTATGACATCACACACGCTAGCCAGCTATAATTGGTTTTAGTGTAATATCACAGTTCTATGACATCACACACGCTAGCCAGCTATAATTGGTTTTAGTGTAATATCACAGTTCTATGACATCACACACGCTAGCCAGCTATAATTGGTTTTAGTGTAATATCACAGTTCTATGACATCACACACGCTAGCCAGCTATAATTGGTTTTAGTGTAATATCACAGTTCTATGACATCACACACGCTAGCCAGCTATAATTGGTTTTAGTGTAATATCACAGTTCTATGACATCACACACGCTAGCCAGCTATAATTGGTTTTAGTGTAATATCACAGTTCTATGACATCACACACGCTAGCCAGCTATAATTGGTTTTAGTGTAATATCACAGTTCTATGACATCACACACGCTAGCCAGCTATAATTGGTTTTAGTGTAATATCACAGTTCTATGACATCACACACGCTAGCCAGCTATAATTGGTTTTAGTGTAATATCACAGTTCTATGACATCACACACGCTAGCCAGCTATAATTGGTGTTAGTGTAATATCACAGTTCTATGACATCACACTCCACCTGACGCTGTCTCCTCCCACCAAACGGTACTATTCCTTTGTTAGAGCAGCAGACGCTGGCACTGACAGCTTTTCTATATTTGGCTCTGTTTTCTATTTCAAACTGAGGTTTGTGTTGATGCTGAGGTGAAAAATCTAAGATTTGTGTTGCTGGTGTTGTTCTGATTTGTGTTGCTGGTGTCATTCTGATTTGTGTTGCTGATGTTGCTGGTGTTGTTCTGATTTGTGTTGCTGGTGTTGTTCTGATTTGTGTTGCTGGTGTTGTTCTGATTTGTGTTGCTGGTGTTGTTCTGATTTGTGCTTTGTTGTTAAGGGATGGAACTCTTTTGCATTGACGGGGCAGTGCCATCCTTAAGGTGCTGCATTAAGATAATCCCATTTGTTTCTTTTTCTTTAGTGTGGGGTTTTCGAGGCTAGCACTTTGTTGTTTAATGTGGTACTGTATTGATCATGAGAGAATGGTTTTGTGTTAACGAGGATATAGTGCTATGCGTTGTTCAGGATGGTGCTGTATTGATGATTATACATATGGTGCTGTATTGATGATTATAAATATGGTGCTGTATTGGTGATTATAAATATGGTGCTGTATTGATGATTATAAATGATGATGATGATGATGATGATGATGATGATGATGATGATGACGACTTGGCTAGACTGCCCCCCCCCCCTTCACTTCCCTATATGTAAGACAGTTTTGTGTATTCTCTGACACTTGGCTAGACCCTTCCCCCCTCCCTTTATCATTGAGGTCGTGAGATTGGTACATAGATATTACATCGACTCTATATATAGACTTGCCAGGGGGAAATAAGAAACTATCCATCACTACATCTTTTATCAGACATACAATTTCTGAACAGGTAAATTTTGATAAATAAGCACACTGAAGCCTGCTACAACAATAGCAAGAGTGATTCAGATATCCGGCGAGCGTTACACCTAATTCTATATCCTTAATTAATTTCTGGGTCTGTATTTGACTGCGAATAAATCAAAATAAATGGACTGAAAAACTAGAGATTTTGTCTCGGTAATAGATAATACACGTGTGGCGGTTAATGGTGGCTTGTAGCCTATTTCAGCGGATGTTTGTTTGTCCAGGCGATCATCAGAGAGGGCTGGTCACTGGTCAAAAACCAGGGTCTCTGGACGGTCAAGCCAGGGTCAGTGTGTGGTCCTTGATGGTACACTCATGACTTATCAGAAGGCAATGAAGCAGTCAAACAACCCGAAATCACCACAAATATATCATTTTATCATCTTTTCAAATTATTTCTGATCGACAATTGAACTATTAAAGATAGAAGTGATTTCCCGATCAAGTATTCTCAGTTATGGCTATATATATAATAGGCATGTTTTTATTTGTATCACTGGTCTTGAGTTAGATGCACTTTTATGTCTCATAGCGATCCGATAGTTAGATTCTTATTCCATTTCCATTAAACTAAGAGGTATCTCATTGTGAGAATATGAAAGATC